CAACCCAGAAGACAGCCGTGTTCAAAAATTATGAAATTACACAAGGCTTGGAAGCTGCATTTACTACACTTCACACTACACTACAGACATAAACTGAAGAGTAGAGGCAATATCTCACATTCTTGTCTGACTCTCACAATCATGCTTTCATTAATTGTATGTAATGTAAGCATAAAGAACATAAATATGAGTTCTGTAAGTTCTGTGACTAGTAGCTTGTCTATTTACCTGTTGGCTACCTGGAAACGGTAAAAAGAAGCAGGCGCCATAACTTCTCGTTACCAGACGGCGCCATGCATTAACGATTGTTGACCGTCACCCTCGGTGTCTTTAGCGGAGAACACTGAGTGACGTCCATTGGCTGAATATATTCTAACCAAATTTAATACTAACGGATTTTATCAAACTTAACAATGAGAAAGGCACACAGTAATCTGATCGAAAAACACAAAGCACTTCACACAAAAGTGAAACGATTATCAAAAAATATAAATAATTATGGTACTTTGTCTTGGAATTTACACAGTGCCCCTTTTTACAAGCTGTCTCCGTTCTGATTGTCTCTATACGAACTAAGTTACTGTACTTGATGCTAACCAACTGAATTAACTGAACAAACTCACTGTTAGTAGAGTCGGTCAAAGAATTACACAGACCGCAGAGAGGGGTTATGCTCTCAGAAAGCTGCAGTGCGGCCTCATTTCGGTGGTGTCGTGGTGTGAACGCTGGAACATAGAAATTAATGAGGAGAAGACTCGGGCAATCCATTTCTCCCGCAGACTTACACCGGTCGAAGCTTGTCTTACAATGAATAGAAGAAACGTTCCATTTGTTAATCAAGTGAAAAATCTCGGTGTAGTCTTTGATAGTAGGATTGCATGGAGATTACATATAGAAATGATCGAAGCCAAGGCCTTCAGAACATTTGTTAAAATGTACTCCCTATTGAAAAATGAGCGGTTGGGCACTAACATTAAACTTATCCTGCACAAAGCACTCATTAACTCAATAATGACTTACGCCTGCCCCACCAGGGAATTTGAGGCATACACCATCTTGAAACTGCTGCGCCTGGTTCTCCGCAGGATTATGCAAGCAGATGTCACATCATATCATCACAATCCAAATGTTCGCAATATATAACAAGGCGACGCCCAACACATAACCTATAAGAGGCTTAAACTTGGCGGCGATCAAACCTACGCCCGTTCAAGTGACTAAGCTGCAGTTGCAGCACAGAGCAACTTATGATAAGGCATGATCTGCTGCGCAATGCCTGGACTCAGAGAGGCCGTGTATATATTGCACATAAATCTTTGAAATTAATACGTGTATAAAATATACAAATGGACATACGTTAAAAAGAAGACGACACAGGGCAAATGACAGACCCGCCCTCTCGGCATAGAGGGCGCCACACGACACGTGCGATAACGGTAAGATCAGACATAAAATATCTCGTCATGAGTCCCTAAAGCAGCTCGACATTTTACAGCTGACTGACAGCTGTTAAAAGACCTGTACTTGCCCTGGCTTACTCATCACCCTGATGATGTTGGCCGGAAGAACCTCTGAAACGGTGGTAAACTTCTACCACACCCAGACTACATGGTGCTACAACCCAGAAGACAGCCATCTTCAGACTCACTATTCAGATAACCACAAATCGTACACCTTCTATTTCTGAGGTCTATCAAGAATGAGTGGAGCTTAACTTCCAACTTCCCAATTTTTCTTCATGACATGGTGTTCAGCTCAGAGAGAACTATTTTTTTATGCATGAACGCAAATGGCATCCCATACCTTTTGTTGGTAAATGAATATTGATTACATTTCTCTTTTTGAGTAACGAAGATCTTATTGCCACTGTTGGTGTGCATCTTTCCTGTTTTCTTGCCTTTTAACTTTACTTTCATATTGCATGAAGACATCGAGGCTTACTGTATCATTACCTTGACCAGGTGCAACAACTAATGCACTTTCATGCCATTGCCAAACACCATACACTTATACTTTTCAATTACCTGTCATTTGTCATTCCAACATGGTGGCTGTGCAAACTTCTAACCTAGAATCAGAACTTTTTCTATTCATAATGGAATCCTAAAATTTAGTACGATTGCATTGTATATGAGAACATGGAGATTTGGAGAACATATGATTTGTTGTCTTATTACAATGAATGATGAATCAATGGTGTTAAACAGGAGCTGTAGTTTACGAGGTAGCCATGCAAGGACTGTCGACAACAAGTTGTTCTCCAATGAAATTTAGTGTATAACATGAATGTTCAAATGTTTAAAAAGGGAATGGATGAAGAGACACATACAGCTTAGTTAGGTTAATTAAAAAGAAGGGACTATGAACAGCCCTTCAGAACCCTATGAGGAGCAAAAATAAACAGTCACCCATGACAATGCTTCTTCTGCATAAAACAAGAAGAGAAAGATTACACATCTAAGTTGATCCAAAATTCAGGATACACTACAAACTACAACCTTTATTTCAACAAAACTGCTGCTGGAACAATTCTGGTACAAAATAATCTTTTCTCAAAACAAACATATAATCTCTATCCACACGTTTCAACTTGTCTGTAATTATGGTCAAAAAGCAAAGTTACGTCCTTTACACTCTATGTTTCTTAACTCACTAATGCAATGCCATTTTGTGGATGAAAGTCAAACACCTGTACTGCTCTAGCAAGTAACACAGCCCTAACTATGTAATAATGCATAGCCTCTGTTATTAGAGAAGTCAGAAATTCAATCCATTTGTGGTTTTTAAGTACTGAACAAAGCTTACAATTCCTTGAGCTCTACCGATTTTGTACAGTAATTGACTTATAGCTAGGATAAATATATTAGTTTCTTATTTTATCTGAATAAGCTTCATTTTCTTTTGCAATGGAAATATGATTAGAATCATCCTCTTAATAATCAAGTGTATGAGAGGAAATATACAATGCAACATATCCTATACAAATAAATATCATTTCTTTTGTCTTTATTGCTATGATAATAAATATTGTCAGCTATGCATGTTATTATTAAGTAATATAACTTACAATTTGGACATACTTAATGTCACCGTCCTACAATAAAGTTAAGACAACCTTAGCACTTATAAGTGTAGTAAGAAGAATTCTTTACAATTTGAACTTCACCTTTTGGACATGCTAGAATTAAGTAACTGCCAAGTTGCTCTTAATCTTCATATCGGATATTAAAATCTCAGTCAGAATAGTAACCATCTGATACACAACACAAACATTCACAACTGATATTAAAATCTCAGTCAGAATAGTAACGATCTGATACACAAACAAACATTCACAACTATTAGCATTCCGTGGCCCCCACATTCACTGTGACACCTCATGAAACATTTGTAGAATTTATATGGCAATAAACAGAAGCCACACAGAACTTTCTGCCCAGAACATTCAATATGGATAACATTAAAACAAAATTAAATGTGAAAAGCTGTTTATTGAAGCACAGTGCAAGACTGAAACTATTATGATAAGACTTTGTAAAAGTTCATATAAGTTATATATTTCAAAAACACTAAAGAACTGTGTGGAAGTTCTGTGTTGCCAAAATGGTATCTCAAGGAAAAGGTACATAATGACATGAAATAAATGATGTGCTAAGTGCACAAATTTATCTGTAAACAATTGCTGAGTGAAGATGGTAATTAAGCAACATTCAAACCAAAGTTTAAAACATGAATTCCTTTGAATTTTTACACACTTCAGGGAGATAAAATGAAGAATATAAATGTCAATTCAATCCAGATATGCAATTCAATAATGATGTAAAAGAGTTAAGTTTAAAAAAGAAAGATTTCAATAAAACAAAATAAAAAAAGAAAAGGTAGGTTAATCATACTTAATATGGTAAGCTAATGATCTTATTATCCCTGTTGCAATACACAGACATTTATAAATTTCACTGTAATATAATGGATAAGATACCTTGCATTGTTGATATTATAATAAATACAATGTAGCGGGGGAAAAATAATGCACTATACATTCCAGCAACAACAGTTGTTTTAATGTATAAGTACAAAAAATAATGAAGGTATTTGGATTGTGGCCTTCTGCATTATAATGCTGTGTAGTCTTATAAGTGGTTACCAATGTTACAGAAGAACTGGCCAGCTCCATCTTCAGAATAGATGCTGGTGACACAGTCCTCCAAAAGCCTGACAAGCGCACACAGGACTGTGTCGTCATAATCTCAAAGACAACTCAAATTTTCACTTGTGTGAAAACATTAAATCTCAGCGAAGATATTGGTTGCACCACATTATACTGCAGCAAGTGATACAGGATGCTAACTAATGGCACATTCTTCAGTGCAAGAAAGAGACAATCTGAAGTAACAAGGCACAGAGCGCATGAACAAATGCGTACGTCACTAGAAGGCCTTAGAACTGTGATGAAGCCAAGCACAGCATGGAAACAACCCTTGAATGTCGGCAGATTTTAACTTCATCTTTCACTGTGCCCCTTTAAGCCTGGGGTGAAAAATGTTTACAGATAACAAACACGTAATTACGGAGGGTAACATAGCAAGGATGCACATTATAACAGTACTTCAGACAACTGCCATGTCATAACAGGACATGATAACATGATCCACTGGAACATGAACATGAAACAGTCAATCTCAACTTAACAAATGGTGACTTACAGTATCATAGAAATGAACCAAAGACATATTGAAAAAAGTCTGTCACAAGTGAAGTTCAATTTGAACCAATAAAATATTAGAGTTACAACAAATAAAAAGGTAATAAGTAAGATCTGGAAAGTCTTTTGTGTTTATTACAAAATTGTGGAGAAGAAAAAATGTTGATAAAGGGAGAAAAGCTGCAAAAAGAAAATGAAGAAACAAGACATGTAAGTAGAAAATGGCATCACACTTAAAGAAAAAAAATTGTCATACTAGAAAGAAGAACGAAAGAAAAGCAGCAAATAAATATCTGAATAACAGCGTAAGTATGAGATTTACTGAAACAATAAAGTGTAAGAGCAGTATGAAAAAGCAAATACTCCTGTCATGTGGCACTCTTACTTTCTGAAAACTTACACGAAATGGTGTCACGACACTCAGGGGCATCTCTCATCCTTCTGGTCCCAATTTATAAACTCTAATGCAAGAACAGTGGAATCTGCTCAGTCCCAGTGGACTAGAGGATTGTATTACTTCAAAATCTACAACAAAAACTAAGCTGGAATTTAAGACGATACCACTTTCATGGGCTCTTAACACCGCAGCCAACTCCTCCTCTAAAACTGAAGGTTTCAAACTCTACACTGATGAGTATCAGACTTGGGCCAATCCGTCACAAGTATTACAATGTCACAATTCTACAATCCCATTGGCACAACTGTACTGGAGAAACCAGTATGACATTCAAGCAGAGAGTCATTTACATGCCTACATTTACTTATTCTAGAGAGGGAGGTTTCTTGAAATCAGAAAGAATGGCTGATTTTACAGAACATGATCATAACTTCAAATCATCTACCACGTAATTTTCCAAATATATTTAAGTCTTAATATAAGAAAATTTTGTTATAACAAAAGTATAAATTCTACTGCAATGTAAAGACTGTATCTGGTACAGATGTTTTGCAGTTAAGATCAAACAAATGTACAAAATAGGCCAACTTCATGCAAAAACTGTAAATTCCTTATGAAGTAAACATATGTTTATAAACACATTCATTTCCACATTTGGGTTTGAGCACAAAGGTTCCCCCCTTATTGTTAGGCGGTTCATATGCAGCTACATTCTGCAATTTCTTGAACATACATAGATCATTTTCCATTCTTTCTTTTGCCATGTAATGTTACAAACCATTTGTGTATCTCAAGATTGGCTTGGTTGTGAAGCGAGCAAGCAGCAGAATTCCTGGAAGTAAATTCGTTAAAATCTTTAACTGCTGGAAATGAGATATCTTTTAAGCATCCATTACGATATTAGCTGAAGCATTATTATGTCTTGGTAGAATGTTGTCTTCCGGTCAGAACTCTGAAGGTATAAAGTGCCTCAAAAATGCCAAAACAACAAACCACTGCAATTTTGTTGAGAAATTTCTTTGCAGCCACAGAGGCAGAAACTACAATCTACCAAATGAGTTATGTTAAATATATATAAGCATTTGAGTATTTTACACTGCAAAATTATTTGGTGCACTGAGCACTGAAAACAGACTTAAAATTATGTAGCAGCCACTCTGTTTTCACTTGCATAATGAATTCAATCCCTTAATGGCAGAAATAAACCACTTTTTAGAAAATCAAATAAACCACCACCTGTGGTTAAGGAAGAACCCATGTGATCTACAAACACAAGTACTTACAGTAAGCGTGTCCTGAATAGACATATTATGTTATGATGTATTTCTTTCTGGCCAGCAGAAGACATTACGTATGTTCAAGAACAAGCAATAGGAACACATGAGTGCCCCTCTTAGGTATGCTATTTTGGGGGACCTCATTTATACTATCAGGATAACTAAATGCTCAGTAAGGCCATGCTGACGTAGCAGCAGCAAGGACCTGCCATTACAGCTGCTGGTGGGAAACACATCCTGGGCAGCAATCAAACTGCGTATACAAGCTATAAAAAATCAGATGTAAATTGTATTAAGACAAATAAAGAAAGATGGAAGATACAGAAAGTCTACAACTGTACCAGGTGTTTTGATGAAAGAATTATTTTTGATTTTATTACACCACATGGTAGGTAGATATTATCTCAGAAGCAAGCATTTCAAAACACTGGGATAATTTAGGCTAATGTGGATGCAATGTTTTACCTGCAGGCGCATATAGATCGTTTAAACAGCTATAAGCAGGCTTGAGCATAGATCTGGCATCTGTCATAAAAAAGCAAACTAATTCACTCTCACACGACATGTACTTAAATCTTTACAGGAACAATTACACCTTACTTTGCATTTTCTATATGCTAAGAACTTGCTCCATTTTACCATATTGCATGCAACTGCCTTCAGTATTCAGTAACTTAATGACAGCCTGCACAAAGGGACGAGGCATCTCCAAATGTTGACACCTGAGGCTATGGTACACAACATAGCATAAAACAATTCAGATATCACATGGCTACATTTATGCTTCCACTTGAACACGGACAAAGTGTTAAAACTTTGGTAACACTGGATGATAAGGACTGGTGAACTACTACTAGACTAATCCTATGAAACTATGATAATCTATTCACATTATCAAAGCAAGCCTCACTGGAGGCTCTGATTTCTATTAATTAATTTCAATAAATGTAGAAAATACAGATCATTTATGCAACACAACTTGTTTCAGCTAGACATCTGTCTTATTAAATATAATCTGAGTGAAGATCAATAAAAAAAATAATTTCCATTTTGATGTTCATAATAATCTGGAATCCACATATGGTGGGTAAGAAATTGTACATGCCATATATATATATATATATATATATACAAGAAAAGCTCATGGCATTTCAGTAACAGTTTCATATTTGTAGCCCGAAGTGTCCTATAAATAGTGTGACGAAGATGAATTTATCTTAACACTTCTTGTTTGCATTCCTTGCACAAACTGTTACAAAGAACCACCTCATTTACACACACATTAAAGATGATTTTACAACTGTCTTGGTGCCTCAATATTAAGGAATCTATCTATTTTTATTAGGCAACAAAATTAACTAAAGTGACACCACAGTTTTCTGTCGTATTTGACTGCAGTAAACTTCTAATTTTCCTTTAAATGCAGCACTAAACTTCAGTCAACATGTGTTGGTACAAATGTATAGAAACATGGAGTTGCTGAAGTATCACATCAGACACAAAACATGGAGGTGGGGGGAAGAAGAACAACCATAAAATGTGAAAGGATTAATTAAAGATCTGAGAGAAAAGAAAACTGTAATAGATTAATAAGGTAAAGATAAAGCATATAAAATGGAATAATAAATTATGTAGTATAAAAGCCAGATGCACTATTAATTTGTCAGTTTCATATTTGTGTACCGTGCTTATTTACATACAAATATCCACTACACGTTTCTCTATTGTGAAATGTCTGCCTTGTTGTTTAGACTACAGGTGGTCACGAAGAACAATCATTCGAGAACAACCTCGGCCATTATCGTGGATCTAATGTCTGCAGAGCCAAGGAAGTCCCATACCTTGACTGGTTGCAGCCAGACAGGGTGGTCAATAGGGCTAGTGAGTGGAGTGACATGCACATTCTGGCCAAAGAAAACTATCCATCTACTCCGACTGTTTAAGGACAAACTGAGTCTGAAGGTTGCCAATATCTACTGCATACCTTGTGACTGCAGTAAAGTTTATGTGGGGCAGACCGCCAAACTATCAAGGCTAGATGCAAAAAACATTAGGCATGTGCACCTCAAGCAACTGGAAAAGTTGTCGGTGGCAGAACATTGGATTGATACGGCACACCATATCGATCTCAACAGTATCTTCATACTAGGGACAGTTACTAGGTACATGGATCTTCTTGCATCTCAACAGTATCTTCATACTAGGGACGGCTACTAGGTACATGGATCTTCTTGTGAGGGATGCCATCAAGATCTGAACAACTTCAACAGAGACGAAAAGGTTCACTCTCAGTCACACATGGTAGCCAGTAATCAACCTACTCCAGTGGTCTAGACACACCACTGGGAAGGCAAGGCAAAGCAAAATAATCCAGTAATACCATTGGCCACACAGTCCGCCAGGAACCGGTCCAGGAAGGGTAGATATATTTGTGAAATCCTGGGCTCCGCAGACATCAGGTCCCTGATGATGACCGAGACAGTTTTCGTAATGTAATTTTTTGTGACCACCTGACTGCCCAAGAAGACTCCATTGATTTTAGTCACCATAAAAGTTATAGATCTTACAGCAAGACAGGCAATTCACAATAGTTGAAAGTGTAGTGGAAATGTGTGTACAAATGAAGATGGTACACAAATATGAAACCAACAGAACAATTAAATGTAAAGTATCATAAAATAAAATTAAGAAGAAAATAAACAAAAAACCGATAGAAAATTAAAAAGACATGGAGAAATGAAAATAATTTTATGCTTCTGTGTTTATATTTAATTTCCTTTCAACACAAACTTGGCTATTAGTAAGTTTTTCTGTAATTAAAGTTGACATAACAGTTAGAGATACGACTCAGCTGTACAGACCGTGGCCTTAACATCACGGGCTCTGTAGTGCAGCACTGTACTAATACTATGAACATCCGTTCCCACTGTACAATACCATCATGCAAAAATGGCTTCAATGCAGGATAATCTGCATTAGATGAACACAATCTTTGCAGAAATGTCAGAAACATTTTGATTCAAAGGGAAAATTACAAGTTATATTGGAGAATTCCAGTATGAAGAATTCCGTCTTCTGGGTTGTTGCGCTGTGTAGTCTGGTCGATGTTAACCAACGTTTCAGAGGTCATACTGCATCATCGCCCTGATGACGGAGGCAGTATGACCTCTGAAACGTTGGTTAACATCGACCAGACTACACAGCGCAACAACCCAGAAGACGGAATTCTTCATACTCACCGCTGTGAAAACCTCAAATCCTACAAGTTATATTGGGTTATGACTACTTCCAAAATCAGCTATTATGGTCATATCAATGTTCCACCACTCTGTCTGGCAGAGAAGGTGAAGAAATCAAATTCTGATCTGTGAGAAACTATCATGTGGATTGCACACAATAGCGAGGATTTAGTAAGCAATGAGCAATGAGCAATTAACTTTACATTCATCTGACATGTGGGTACATATAAGTTTGCAAGACAGATCACCATGGCTGTTTGTATGGCACTGTTATAAAGGCTGCATGAACAGCCAAAGATGAAAGCAACAAGGCGTAAAATAATGCGCATATTTTCAAGAAATCTTCGTGTAGTCCCCATATCTGTATGCACTTACACTACATGGGTCTCATATCATTCCGAAGCCTTCTGTCCCTTCACTGATAGCAAGAAGTAATGCTCGCTCAAAGTGTTCATAGCTCTCGTAATCAGGCAGACACAGCTGGTTGAAACTGCAACACAAAGATGGGTGACGTTCTGAGTCTGTTCCTATTCAGTGAGAAGTAAAACACACTCAATAAAGTGACTATTACATTCAACAACTCAACAAGAAATAGGATTTATATTTGACTGACTGACTGACTAACTAACAAACAAACTGGTACAAATTATTTAATGGAGGCTCTCAACATAACAGTTTTATGTTTATTAGTACAAACGTCATCACCATTCAAATATAATGGTGACACTGATGTAAAATTAAAATAAATTATTGTCTAAACTTAACACTTTATAGCTGTGCAATAAAGTCTGTGCAACAACAATAAAATCCTTAATATCTGCTAGATCCAAAACTGGGAGTAATGTAAGCATAAAGCTGGCATCAAATACCATTCATAATTTGTGTACAAATACAGCAATTTAAAAAATGTGTAAACAAAATATTTGAGAGGTAATGACGCTGGATGCGAAGTTCCAATATTATATTGTAATGAACCAGGCATAAAAAATGAGACAGATTTTGAGCTACCATCCAATAGGAAGATGTCTTTGACACCCCTCTGTGAAAGACTACTAGACAGCATGAACTGTGACTTTCCCTTGACTGCCCTTCATAATCGCACTTGATGACTGCCAATCAGTCGGCCCTTGCCGAACATTACCAGGTGTGAGCAGTGGGCAGGTTGCCAAATGTAGGTGCAGCCGTGATCTGAAAGCGTGGACTGAGCTCTCCAAAGCCACCCGGTGGGAGCTGGGAACAGCCTGTTGTGAACTGCAGCAAACGAGCCATCTCCTCCTGCGTGAAGTTGGACACTGCAGTCCAGAACCAGTCCAGGATGCGCCGGAACTCTGTAGACCCTCCATTCACCACGTGATTGGCCCGGAAGTCAGCGACACTGTATTCGCCTGTTCCACACAGCAACAGCTGTAAGAACAAGGATGGGTTAAGAACAAACCACAGCAAAACTAATAATTAATTAGATAGTGAGCAGCAATTAATTTAATTATATACACTTCATCACTAACAAATAGTAGTCATCATTATATGCCACTATAATGACTCAGATTATGACTGGCATAGTGGAAGTTGGTCACCTAATATAGGCTAGGCATTTTACTGAAATGTTTGATGCAGAGCCTACTGCAAGAATATTGAAAAAGTGTAATCCACACATGTGTTCTTTGCAAATGCTGCATTATTAATAATAGATTATGTCGGTTATCTTATGTAGACAAATTTAGTTTCCAACTACACAAATCATGTGGTCTTAATGTCTTCTTGAAGTAATGCAAGTGAAAACTGAAATGTCATGAGGCATGTTATCTCTTCAGCAGCATACTGGACTCGCATGCATTAGGGTCATGGGATCGAATCCCGATCAACTAATTTCTTTATGTAGCTGCCATGATGATGTTTTACATTACATAAAGAATTACTACATCAACGTTTTGTATTTTCCAAATACGAGGGTGAGTCAAATGAAAACCGTAAAACTGAGATAAAAATTCGAAATATCACGCCATTGTCCTATAAGTAGACAGACATGTTACCAATGCTATAACGAGTATCCTATAGGTGACAGTATAATGCAGACAAACAGAACGCCATCACAGTGCCAATTTGAAAATCGGCCCCATACTGCCCGTGCAACAGTTGCAACAATCCAAGACTTGCACTTTGAGTGTCTTCCACATCCGCCATACTCACTAGACCTAGCCCCAAGTGATTACCACATGTTTGGGCCACTCAAAGAGGCGATGGGAGGAAAGAAGTTCCGTTCTGATAAAGAGGTACAGCAGGCGGTGCATCAGTGGTTGCGCAGACAACCACAAGAATTTTTTTCTAGAGGAAGCCATACACTTCATAAACGCTGGAGGGGCCTGTATTGAACGAAATGGAGACTATGTAGAAAAATGATACAGTTGTGTACCGCTTTCACTCAATAAATTAAATTTAAAAAAAAATTACGGTTTTCATTTGACTCACCCTCGTATCTATAACCATATATCAATGTAAGACCCTAATGCAAGTGGCATTAATGTTGATTCCACCTCCCAAGTTTGTTCATCTGTCATGTAGGTATTACTGGTTGTAGAACATTGAAAAGTATGATATTGGGGCAGCCCCCAATGGTATAATGTCGATTATCATGTATAATAAAAATCCATCCACCAATTCTCAAGCTGAGTCGAGTGGAAGAAGAAGGAATTTATGGAGAGGCGTATTTCAGCAGGCCAAGGCTTGAATCAAGCTAGGGCCCCAGCGAGAGTAAACAAAAGAAGGTAAAGAGAAAGATGAAGAAAAATGACTTATTACAATCTGAATTATTATTATTATTTAGTGTTCTGTCTGACGACAGGTCCATATGAACAGGATCCTTCCATCCTTTTCTCGGACTGGGACCTGTTCATATACGTTCTTGGCAGATGATCCAGAAGTGGTTTGCCAACTCGAATGTAAGAGATATCATGTAACTTCATAAATAATCTTTCCTACCCAGTATTGTTACTGCAATTAAATCAAGAAAAGTGAGAATGGGTGGACTTGCAGAATGCACAGACAGAATAGAATACATGTAAACTACTAACTGGAAAACTCTGGTGGGACAGACCACTTGTAAGACCTCTTATTTATTTAACCACACTTTTTCAGCAGCCAATTATGTAGTGTTAAATGAAAGGATAATAGTAAACAATGAATTGAAAAAGACATGGAAGAAAGTGATAGTGTGCCAATTTAAGGTACTATCCTGGCACTTGCCTGGAGGGACTGAGAAATACCTGTCAGTATAGCCAGTCTCTGGGCCAAGATATGAACCCGGGACCTCCCGAATATGAAGCATTAAGTGCTAACCACTCAACCACGTTTTGCAAGTCACGCACGACAATTAAGCCATCTCACCTCCAGTTCATTCTCATCGAATATGCTGAGCAGGTTGTCTGGAATGAGCTCATTAAGTCCTTTGAGGAAGTGCTCCACCTCGTCCTTGAGGTTATTGGCAAGCCTGTACTGCGCCAATGCATCAAGATACTGGTGCTTGGTGCTATTTTGGACCCGCAACTTTGCCCCTCCTTGCACCAACTCCACAACCTGTTTCTCAACGGAACACAACACAGTGAGTAATTAGACTGATCATAAAAACCAGGCCATGCTTCCACTGCACCACACATCTAAACAGTGTAACAAAAGGAATGATTAACTTTCATCATATGGGAATAGGGAATTTAGGTCCCTGTATAATTGGGATACCAATCAGACTTTATCCTGCATTATGAGTTTAGCAGTATGCTACCACAATGCCAGCTACTCACAAGATATGGTACATGGACGATAAAGTTCAATAAGTGTGTCACATAGATAAAGTGTTTGAACATTGACAACAATCCTTTCAAATTCATTTTTTCTTCTTTACAATACGAGCCTATGTCATCAGAGGCACTAGAGCAGGGTCTGACATAGTACAATATTACAAATTTTACTAACTCAATGGAGTGGAGTCAATGCTACGAAGCTAACAGTTGCTCAGCTAGTCAGCAAATTCCCTTCATTTTATGGAACCCAAAAGTTTGTTACCATGTTCACAACACCCTGCCACTGGTCCCTGTCCTCACCCAAATGAATCTAATCCACACCTTCCTATCATATTTCAGATTAATTTTAATATTATTCCCCCATCTGTGCCTTTCTCAGTTGTCACAGTTCAAGATCTGTGCACTTGTGGCTGGGGTAAGAAGCTAACCTCTCACTTCCATTTGGTTAAGAATGTGTGAAGCTAAACCTTCAACCCCCTACACGTGGTGCTTAAGTAAGAGACACGTTTACCTCTACCTTACTTTTCATATTCAGGCTCCTCAGTTGGAACTGTGTAATGCAGTGACTATGGTCGGTATATGGAAGTGACTGACTGTTTAGAAAAGAACTGGGCAGGAGCAACAAGAGGAAACTCTGAGTCAATAAAACATTGATGAGATGGTGGAGATCCAATAAAAAAAAAAGTCTGGGTGATCATTCTGGAAAATATCTGGAGACCAAAACAGGCTCATTAAACTGCATACATCAAAGTTTAAGAACCTCTTCTAGACCTAGGGCCACATTCACTGTTACTGACTCACAGGCTGCAGGGTAAAAATGAGGACAATGTACAGCACCTCTGATGTTCAAAATCAGGTTAAATTTCTGTTGCTGCGATTCACATATATCCGTTCATGTGTTCATCACCAAGACACATCGTAGATCTTTAAAGTTTCTCACTGAACTAAACAATGGCTCACAGCAGAAGGTACTGCCTAATGCTAATGACATTAACAAAGAATGTTTTGTAATATCAGGTAAGTATCATTCATCATACAGGAAAACACAAAATTATAAGAAACTCATGCCTGCTGCAAAAAAACACACTGGCATGAAAAAACAATGGATGTAAAACTTTGCCTGAAAGTGTCAGTTAAATCTTGCATTAGAATTTCTTGGACAGAGTTCTGAACAAGATGTGCATATGCAAATCTGGTCTGTGTCTGCAATAATGACATATAAATCTGTCAGTGATGTTTCTGTATCCTCGAGGTAATATAATATCCTGTTCCATGTTTTTTTCACAGGCACTTATTTAAGATAAAATTACAGCAATGTTTCCATATGCATGTAACATTAGCCTTCATATTCTGTTCATGTGGAAGAGAAGACATAAATTTGATCTACATTTCTGGCGAACAAATTATTCATGTCATATTTTTCTAGTTCACATCGTAAATATAAGTTTCTTTTCTTAGAAATTTCTCATTATGTAATTAATTACCTTGCATATACTGTGATATACTTGACTGCAAAAACATTCTGTATCTGTTGCACGGGCAAAAATAATTGTACATTCTGTAGTGCACCTATATATGCTGTTTTTCAATACTGATTTGTCTTTTTATGTAAATGTTTTACATCAGACCTGCTAATCCTTGCATGTTTGAAGTAGGTCTTTTGTAGTAACAGTCAATTGCGCTGAACAAGGACATGTCACTCTTTTAATAATTTATCAAATGAGAATGGACTGACCCACAGCAGGTCACACTCCTGTTCTTGGACTGAAATTTTGGAAGGAATAAAAAAACGTACCTCACATATGAATAACTGTGATACCTATAAATCATTAAGTAGTATAACTTGATAAGATTCACTGGCCTCTGCAATGAAATGTAAGCAGTCAAAATATCAGTAGTTACAAATTATTCTTTCTGTATCAAGTTAACTGAGTCATCTGGTGTAGCCACTGACTAACCTTCATTAGCTGTCCAAACTTGTCATATTCTTCCTCCACGAAGTACAGCTCCATTTCTTCCACATCATGGTCCAGGATGTACTTCACCTTACTAAGGTACAGATCTGGATCATCCTGTTCAAAATACTGAAAGAAAGAAGTTTCAAACTGAGGTAAAATATACAAGCAGTTCACAAAACCAAATCTCAACCAAAGTTCTATTACAACTACGGCTTAAAAAAAATCACTTGAAAATCTTTCAGAAAACAATGATCTGTGAACAATAACTTTTTACACTGTTTTGTGTAACTGTTAAAGATGAGATATTCTTTGAGGTAAGAGCAGAAATAGCAGTTGCCTGAATAAAGTGAACTCCATGCTCCTGCAAACCCCCGCCCCTACACGCATGCCCTTGACTTTGCTACTCAACAACATAAGCTGACATGTACAAAGCAAGAAATTCCTTGTAAAATATTTTCAAAGACTCATGAACAGAACAATTATTCAATTTTAATTTTCTCTTCTATCAAGCAGAAGTTTTAATTTTGGTTTGTGGTACAGTCAGGCATACAGAGCTTAGGAACACTGAAATAAACAATGGAACAAGACGGCTCTACAAAATTTCTCTCACCTTGTAATGTACTCGAAGACCAATGATCAGTGCTAGGAAGGAGCGTGTGAACCTGGCACGAACCAGTTGGCGGTATGAACCCCCGAGCGCCGATTCATATAGACACTTTCCAACCAGCCTCCCTGCAAACTCATAGTGCTTCAGCTTCAGGTGGGGTGGTCGCTGTGGATTTGGGTGCACCAGAGCTTGCTGGTTGTCTGAGAAACTCGTGAATAAGCCATTCCGCGCATCAAACAGCGCTGCACACGTCAACTCAAACCACTCTCTACGTATCCCTCCCCAGTCCAAACCTAACACACACACACACACAAAGCAAGTCATACATCAGTCCTTGAGCCACATAGAAATTAAATTTAATTAATTTTAAATACTAATCAGAACACCATTGCTTTACCTTGTTCTCCCTGAAAGATGATTTCAAAATTCCGACACCAGTCACTGACCGAGAAGCCCTTTGTTGCTTTCATAGACTGCAAAGACAATTAATGCACGCACTTAGAGAAAATTTGGTATTTTTATGTTTATGTATCAGATTTATTCTTGCAAACCTTCACTCACACACGTTTCAAAACAAGGAACTGTGAACTCAACATAAACGAGTTGACAATATCAGCCCGAAAGTGCTGCCTCATACAGACAATTTCTGACCATACCCCCTGCAAACTCATGGTACTTCAGCTTCAGGTGGGCTAATTTCTGTTGATCTGAGTGCTCCAGAGTTTGCTGAGAAACTTGTGGACACGACATTCTAAGCATTAAGCAGAATTTCCAAAAATCTCCACTGAGATACCAAGACATAGGATACATATGTCAACACTTATTTTGGTTCACAGAGATTAATCTAACAATCAGATGATGACACCCCTTTAATTAACAATATGTGAAACTGTGAAATTTCTTTGTAAATTATTTTATGAAAAATAGTCATATATATAAGAAATTTATAGTCTTTTTTTTCTTGAAGATTGCTGTCTTCTGGGTTATTGCACCGTGTAGTCAGGGCAATCGCCCTGATGATGGAGGCGGTATGACCTCTGAAACGTTGGTGGAAATCTACCAGACTACACGGCGCAATAACCCAGAAGACAGCAATCTTCAGACTCACCACTGTGAAAACAACAAATCCAATTTTCTTCTTCTTAGACTTCGTATCAGGTTCACAGTTTAAACATACATTACACAAACGTTTTGAAATCTCCAATTACTTTTATTGAAAGCACTTGTATACATAGCACAAACACTGAAATGCATGATGAACACTCACAGATTCAAGCAATTTCTCCCGGTTCACCTTCACTTGTAGCTTCTCATGGTAGTGCTTCTGGTGATACTTCCGTACTTCATGATAAAAGAAATCCTGCTTATCCTTGAAGGTCTCTGACCCACCTGCAACATAGGGCACGCCTAGGTCTATCTCATGTTATTCAACTGCAGATATTATGTAGTGTCAAACAAAATGAAAGGGTCATCACGAATGGCAAGAATTTTAAACAGATGGCAAAAGTCTATCTGACAATAGTATCCTGATATTTGACTGGAGCAACTGGGAAAAGCCACAAAACCTCAATCAGGATAGTTGGACTAAGCCTCATGAATGTAGGTCTACAGCAGTAGTTCCCAAACGAGGCGGCAGGCACCAAAGTGGTACCTGAATCACTGAAAGTGGTGTGCATAAAAACTATGGGGATGCTCCAAAACTGAACTATCAACAGACGAAATTGTCTATTTACTGACTTACTTACCTTACAAAACCTATAAAAAACAGTTCTGTTAGCAGTAATCATGCATTCAAAATGTCCTAATTATAGGAAGTCTTAGAATTTAATTCTTGAATACACTATATTTAATTAAACTGCCCCCTCACACTGTTATGGATTATGGTAGCTTAAATTAAACATATGCAAATAAATGCAAAATGCACATGTCAAACCTCTGATTATTACAAACTACTTTAGTCCTAGTTCATTAGTAGAACCTGATACAAGACATGTAATGTACAGTTGTGTAAAAATTTATTCATGGCTTATAAAGCATTTTAAAGTATGGAAAGTGATATCAATATATTTGGCTCAACCAGTTCTACAGTAGATGGTTCTCCTGCAGAGGAAAAAGAAGGGCGAGAACATATCGAACAGATTTCCAGACATTCGATTTCACTTATCAACTTGTAAATGAGGAAGAGCATCCCGGGTGTGTTGCATGTAGTAAAGTTTTCGCAAATAATAATTTCAATGCAAGAAATTTGTATTGGCACTTAACAACAAAACATGAATATCTTGTACATGAACCATTACAGCTTTTTGAATGAAAACTACTAAAAATCTGTAACCAGTCAAACTTAATGAGAACTGCAGCCACTGCTTCAACAAAATAACTTTTGGCCTCTTTTGAGGTCTCATACTTAATAGTCAAAAATAAGAAGCCTCATACTATCATACAATTGGAGAGAGAATACTGCTTACAGCAGCCATGAAAGTGTGCAAAAGTATGCATGGTGAAAAAAATGGCAAATTTCTTTAAACAATATCTCTATCTGATAACATAGTAATGCAATGCATTGAATAAATGTCAGAAGACATCAAAGAACAACTGCTGACATGTTGCAAGATTAGCTCAACTACTTACATTTGTCAGATACTGTTAAAAAGAAAGGAAGAGTATATGTTCTGCCTACCACTTTCAGAGAGATGTACAGGAAATTACATATTCAAGGCATTGAATGACTATTTCACAGCAGAAGATTTTTCTTGGGAGAAATGTGTCAGCATCTGTACAGATGGAGCAGCAGCTTTGAAACTATATCATACAATATTTTTATTATTGTCATTTTGTGTGCACATATTTCATGAACACGACTGAGTAAGTCTGAGTGCTAATTCTTTCACCAGCCAGACTTATTCCTTTGTGAAATAACTGTACTATTTCATTCACATAATTTGAGCACAAACAATTAAAACATCCACATTATTTAAAGGAACTTCAGTGTTCCAGTTCGTGTACCTA